TATTCTCCATAGGATGGCGTGACTTTGAATTTGAAGTGATCAGCCCACTGTTTTACTTGTTTCTCCTTCTTGTTAAGTAGGTTCCATTGAACATCTTTCATTGGTTTCATCATTCGGTTTGTTCTCTTCCCGGATAGAGGCTTAGTTATCCAGCTTAATGTTCTCAGGTCTCTTTTACCTGTGGCCTGCCTGTTCTGCTTCAGTTTACAGCCAGCGTCTTTGTCTTTTTTCCTTCCTAGCACTCTTCTTCACTTCTTTATTCAGTGAGATGTACATTGAACTTAGCTTCTCCTTCTGTTGTCCATCTTTGAATTGAGTAGTCATCTTCTCTTTCACCATCCTCCTCTCCTCTCTTCTATTAGCTTTCAGATAGGAGTCTGTTGAGAGCCATTCCTTATTTTGTCTCTTCCTTCTCTCTAGAACAGTTATACATGTTTCCTTGAACATAACCTTCAAAGAGTCCCAATGTTCATTCACACAGATATCCCCTGCGATGCCAAGTATTGTCTCTGACTGTGCTCTGATGACCACAGTGAAGGTATCCCTTGCAGTTTTGTCCAAATCATTGAAAGCGCAGAAGTCCGCAAAGAGTTCTCTCTTGAAATTCATTTCTTCGAGCAAGAGCCTCTAGATCCAAGACGAGTTTTCTTCCTTTATTATCTGCTCCCAATCTGGCTGGCATTCATATCGCCCATAAGGATTTTGATGTCACCATTTGAGTGTTATCCATTATTGTTTATAGTGGTCTGTAAACATCTTCCTTCATTTTTTGTTTCGAGTTGTTTGTAGCGCTGTGCTTAACACTACATGATAATTGTAACCTTCTTTCCTTCCTTCTGAGTTGAATCTTACTGTCATAATGCTGAGGAATGAAAATTGGTTCCCACTTCACTAGGGCTTTAGCTGATATTGGTGACGTCATGGTAGCCATTCAGTGCTCGTGGTTGTCGCCTGGGTGACCAGAGTAAATTACTGACTCACCAACTGACAATTTGGTTAGTCCACGTCTATTCCATTTGCTCTCACAGATCCTGAGCACTTCTATACCATATCTTCTGATTTCTCTGGCTACATGGGAAGCCTTTCCAGCTTCGTACATTGTACGAACATTCCACATCCCCATTCTTAATTTTGCTGTCACTGGAAGAAGACACATCGGCTGGTTATCTTCCCGCCAGAGTCATTTTGCCTCTCCTTTTGCAAAGAATAAGATTGTTATTTGAATTTTCTGTATTTTGTTTTTTGTGCGGTGAAGCTTCTTTAACAGTCCGATTGATTTTCGGAGTAGGGTCGCTAGCCCCAGGCCCAACTTTCCCTCTTCTCTAGGGCTTGGAACAGGTCAGAAAACTAGCGAACGAATAAACTAGGGGAGTTTTGAAGTCTCATTAGTGGTGGCATTGTTTTTACAGGATGGGGTCACTGGCCTCGCAACCAGCCTACCCTTTCTACCGAGCTAACTACCAGCCAGGGAAGGTTAAGAAGTACGTTGTCAGGAGATCGAACCCAGGCCGTATGCGTGATTGCCTAGCATCTTACCGTAGAACCACCGATGCACATTGAAACTGTTGGGCTATTGTCACTTCGTTCGTTATCAAATCATTTTCCTCTCATGAATTTGTATAATTCTTTGATAAGTGAACAGCTTTGAAGTACTGTATGGTTTGCAGCAATCTTTCTAGGTCTTTTGGATTGGATTTTAGACCCTACTGTCAACTTTTTCCACCTGACTTTTTATATTTGCTTCTTCACAGACTACTCCCACTGATGTATTTTCCTGAAGCTGTCCAAATGAGTCAGACATCGAAGCTGTTATTGTTTCGACAGGAATTTTATAAGCGAAGTGATGTAAACTGTATTCCCTCATCGATGAAATGGCCCAAAAAGATAAAATACTGCTCTCCCTCTTTGAAATAATCATAAATCTCCAATATGAACGGTATTTCCGTCACGGCTGCAATTCAAAGATTTGTTAATTATCACTAGAAAATGCCTTTTTTTGGAAGGGACTAGCGACTGCAGTATGTTCTCACTGGTAACTGAACAAGTTTTTGCAAATCTGAACCAGCCTTCAGCCATCGTTTCTGTTTGTCAACAGAATTCTAGAGAAAAAGATAGCCCTTTTGTTCAATAGAGTTGATCTAGTGCTCGACTCCAGACAGACAGACATTTAGTAAATGCCGACCACTGAGGGGGAGTTCCATCTTTGTTAGAAGTGACTAACTACAAAGAATAAAGCTGAGATAGTGTTAGGCGTCATATGGTCAAAATAACTAACTTCTCTAAAACCTTCATATAATAAGAATCTGGAACAGACAGTGTTCATTAAAATTTTTTTTTTCACTTCCTGTTTGATAGAAACAGCAACAGTGAACTTATCCTCCAGTTACTCAGAATGCATCAAAAATGCAACAAAATTATGAGATACTCTTACACTATTTTGAAACTGTGAAGAAGCAGAATACTATCTCCTTCGTTAGACCGGAATTCATTTTCTTTTTGACGCAAAACTTGAAAGGAAAAGCTTGTTATCAATGAACAGAGAAAGACTTTAAGACAAATTCGGTATGAATATCAGAGCAAACCTAACAGCACTAGTCGTACTCTTTATCAATCGAAAGTGAACAGGTATCGATCAGTGGTCGCAAATTCATACGTACATGGCAGAACAGCCACATCGGGAGGACAGACGGATGCTTATCTATTCATTTTTCTTAACATATCCTAGAAGGTCTAAGTTTCAAAGGTTCTCTGTCCATTACCAGCAAAATCAGCCAACATATAGTCGAATCAGGACAGAAAGTAGATACTCCAGCTGCATTCACGGTTATCAACAAGCAAAAAGAAATCAACTTTTCTCCAATATGTTGTATCTATCGCTATCAGGCAACTGGAACTCAACCTGCGTATACAGTAAGAAATAGTGACTAATTCCAGTTTACTGTGGTAACAATTATTCAGCCTGTAGCAAAATTCTTCTTTTCTACTACAGTTTTCATTATTATTATTGTTATTGTTATTACTTTCTGATGCACCAATCTTAATTAGCTTAAATGATTTCAAACCACTTCTAAATGTTTTCTTGTATATCACTACTCAATATTTCTTCCTGTGTGTGACTTGTTAATTAGTGTTTTGTTCTTAAGCCAGTCCCTATAACTTCTTCAGTCTTCTCCTGAAGCTATGATAAATAACCACTCTCTTTTGTATTATTTTAACTAAGTATGCTACCATACTTCACTCATTCTTCTCCTTAGACTGAAATTATTACGCTTAACTTCTGCTGATTTGAAGAAAAAAGGAGAGTTCTCATTTCATTGATACTGTGTATATTTAGACTATCTACAGATGGGGAGAAATCTAGAAATGAAATATGCACATTTTATACTGCAAATCTTATTCTTCTTGTCTTGGTGAAAACGATCTATGGAACAAGTTGTATGAATTAAAAAGAAAAACAGTTTACTGAGGCGACTGTTGTTATGATCAAAGGATGTAGGTTACAGTTATTATTGGCCAACCCGTTACTTTTATAATCTTAAGTCCATAAGAAAGAGGAGAAATTTTTGTATAATATAATCAATATATATATATATATATATATATATATATATATTTACAAGCATGATCTCTGTAAGTATAGACTCAATATTGCCTTTATATCTAAAATTACAGATAAACAATAATGTTGCTTATATTTCTTTCAACCCAAAATGCAAGTAGTTTATAATTAGTTAACATTAGTGCTGATAACTGTCGGTCAGAATACACCCTACTGATAAGTTGATAGGAACCGACAATTTGATCATAAACAGACATCAACTAAAGAACAAACGGAAATCACAAATCCCCGGTTAGATGCTTAATCTCAAGTTAGAATTCTTCGGAACGAAGCATGGAAAAACTCTCTGTGTAATCCACTGACTTCGTGTTCAAATGCTAGTAAATGCTAGTAAATATGTACTGCTAAATAGTTTCATGCAAAAACCAAATGTTTATCCAGTACTACTTGGTTTCCATGGTTTCTCTGTTTCATATTGATCAGTGATGAAATCTGTCTTTAAATCAGTAATGTCTCTTGAATGTCTAGAACCTTCTGTGAGAGCTTTTAATAGATTTTTCCATGAGATACAGTTGAAATCAAGAAAGAAACGTCTCAAATTTCAGAGTTATGTTAATAATCTCTGAATATTTTCGGCAGTCTGTAATTGCTTTAAAGATCTTGAAAGGAAAGTTAGATTTTTTCAGTATTCCAGTAGATCGTAGGAAATATGAGCACTTTGTGGCAAATCATGCTTTCAAACTACTGTTACACTAAACTAAGTAGACTGTTATACCACGACACAAACCTATTCATTTAGTGAATCCAAACTATTCTTAATATCAGAAAAGCTTCCATGGAAATGATGACTGAGTTAATTTCTACTGAAAATAATTGATCACTGGCTGAGCATAGGTCATTAGGCTCTCTTGAAGTTTCATTAGCACTGATATTGTTCTTTTATAAGGTGAGGTAGCTACCCTCACTCTATATCTCCCCTCCTTTCGGGACTGACTAGTGGTTAGTAAACTGAGTAAGGTTTAGGCATAGGTTGGCGGGGAATCGCATCATGACCTCGTAAGTGACAGGGAAGCATTCTACCATTGGACCATCGATGTAAAACTCAAGATATTACAATTCTCTTATGAAACAACACTAATTCCCTTGTCTGTGCATCGGTAGCACAGCAGGAGAATGCTCACCAACCGTGCATGTGGTTTGGGGTTCGATTCCCGGCCACCGACACACTCCTTTACCTCGATAACCCAGTAATAAGACTGGTAAAGAGAGAAGGTTGGACGTGAGGCTAGCAACCCCATCCCGTAAAAATGAATAAACACCACCACTACTGGAACTTTAAGCCTCTAGGTTGAAGTCCTGTGTTCCACTGCGAGCGTAAAGGAATAAAAATATTCCCCTTATCTAACGACTATTCAGATTCTGTTTAAAGAGAATAAAGTTATTTGGTTCCTGACTTTAAAACTGATAATTTTATAAAGTCCAGGTTGTCTTTATTCACGTATACAATAAAAATACAAAGATATGCGTAAGTATATACATTTATATAAATGATATGATAAAAATTATGAAGAATTTAAAATAAATAACATGAATAAATGCATAATCTCCCTGATTGAGTGTAAAAGATAATCAATAAATTGTAAAAAAAAAGACAAAAACAAAAAAGAACAACCAAAAATAAAGGAAAAGACAACTTAATAATTATGAAATTAATAATTTAATATACATGCGCTTCTTGTCTAGTTGGATAGATAGACAGATAGATAGAAAGAGGCATAAGAAAGACAGCTGTTGGTCAGCTAACTAGTTAGTTAGTGAGTTAGTTGAACAGACTTTCATTGAAAACTCTCCATAATATCGATTAACAAATAATTTTAGAAAACAAAACAAAACAAAACGAATTGTAAATTTGATATCATCGTAATAATGTTCACTGGAAAAGGTATTCATTGTAAAAGGTTTATTGATCTATGATCAGCATTTGTCCAATGTATATATGTATAAAACTGGATAGTTTGAATATCTCATCTTGAATTGTACTCAATAAAAATATAATATTTTAAGCATAAAAAAAGGTAGCCTTAAACAGATTCTTTATATTCTCCTGTATACTTTTTCTTTAAATGACGCTTTAAATTATCATCATCGTCTTCATCATCACGTGAATAACCATCTTCATCTGTATCGGGTGTATCAATCGGTGCATCAGACGACAAGACAAGATGAGATGGTGGTGCAGTGGCTGATGACTCAATTGGTAGTGGTAGTGGCGGTGGATATTTCCTCTCTTTACAATCTCCTTTATCTTTAAAGCCAATAATACCACGTTTCAAGTGTAAATGTGGTATAAGTCTACGATTACGTTTACGTGTTAAATCACGATAAAAATATTTTTCACAAAATGTATGCCACAATTGACATATAATCTCTGAACATATTAATTCACCAGCATTAATAGCAATCATACGTAGCAGAAAAACACCATCATTACGTAAAAAACATTGTGTAAATTTGTCAATCATATATTTATCTTTTTTAGTGACTTGTTCACCAAGTTTTAAATATTTTTTAATAAAATGTGTCCGTGATTTTTCATAACTCATACGTGTAAACCATGTTGGTATACTGATAGCTGTAATTGTTGCCGCTAATACAATCCAAAACCATAGAAACATATAAATACGTTCATTTAACATATTCACTGGTAATACACATTGAGCTGTAGCATAATTATTTGATCCAATATGCTTCAGTGGGACTAGACAAAAACCAACACGTGGAAATATCATAGTCACTTCCCAGTCTAAACCGGCTAAAATATTTTTTGATATAGCAATACCGAATAGTGTATAATTGTCTGTTTTTAAACCAAGAAATGATTGCATCATAAATATTTGTCCGATAGCATTTAATAAATAAAGAAATTTTATAAATAAATATGTACCAAATAATCGTGTTCCTAAACGTTTACTAACTAGAAATAAATATCCCCATTTACACATACGACGTCGAACACTAGGCCATAATCCACTACGGTATTCACGTTGCTGTAGGTAAAGAAGAAGAGAAAAGAAGAAAGAGGAAGGAAATTTACATACGACTATACATGCAAAAATTTCATATGATAAATATTATTGGGAGCGGATTTCTAGTGAAATACAAATTAACATCATCATTCAGATGACAGGTTTTCAAAGTGTTGGAAATTATGCAATGTTTTCCTGGCAAACACATTATAAAGTATCTATTTGAACACATAAGGTAACATCTATTGAATTGTATCATAGATAAAGGTGAATAAAATGGAGATAAACACTTGATTTAAATGATTTTATGAAGGTAAAAGTCATTCAGACTTAGAGTATTGAAACATCCTCTTCATTAGTACATATGGTAACATCTTTGGACAAATATAACGATAGAAAATGTAAGGTTTATGAATTGCCCATTATACACTGCATTTTATCATAATAAGTAATGTTTCTGTCGGCGTTAGTCTTGTTCCGTTTATTAGTAACTATAAAACTATGAATTTAATAATTATGATTTCTCAAAAGAATGGATAGTGAACAAAGAGTGCTCTTTTCGATAACCCCTTCTTCATCAGGCTCTACAGTTATATACACATTATAGTGAATGAATGAATTAGTGTTATGAACAACATTAATGTTATTTAAATAACATCGAATCATTAATACTGATAGATTGCAGCTAAATAGCATCAGCATAAAATAAGTTGAATGTCAGAAAAATTAGGAAAGATATTATTATAAATTCATGTGTTTATAGTCTTTACTGAAGGTCAAGGCAGTAGTAGGGGCTGGACTTGCTTCTTTTGAACACAGAACACTGGTTGTTTGAAGCGAATTGCAACAGCCTCTGCTGTTTGGAGCATGCGGTGCTTCTATGATTTTGGCAATTTATTAGGCACTCGGTAGATTATAGAAAAGGATTCTTCCACGTTGGCTTTGTGGCCGGCCGGTTTGCACCAGATGGTCCAATATCGAACTGTTAATGGTTTTAACTACACCTTTACTTAACCATAGTGGGAGATGTTCTGGAGCACAAAATCACAATGATTTGCTTATTTTAATGAACAATTCCTTACACTTAAGAGTATTCAGTATTCCCTTATCATGAACTAAAAGTCACTCTGAAGGAAGAATATTCTAACGAGTGAATTCTCTTCAGGTTTTTCCAGATATAAAATATAATTGTGATCATGACACTAACAGCCAGTAATGCTGTGGATACATTTTTATGTGAAAAAAAACAGACTAGTGATATGGTGATATAATAAATAGTACTTGTGTGGAAAATGTGTTGGGTTGAATTTATTATTTACTTTATTCCTTTACTTTCCCAGTGGAACGTAGGGCTTCAAGCAAGTGCTCTGAGATCTCACTAGCAGAGGTGTTTTTACGGGGTTGGGTTACTAGCCTCACACCCAACCTTCCCTCTTTCTCAGGTTTACAACCGGCTAGGGGAGGTAAACGAGTGCACCGACCGGGAATCGAACTCTGGACCACGCATATTGTCGGCCAGCATTATACCGCTGAACCACCGATGTTGGGTTAAATGCAATTACAAAATATTGTAAAATGCGAGACGATGGTAGATTCGTATAACTGCGGAAGCAAACTTGACAAGTAAGATTAAATTAGTTAGTGGTGTTTGAATAGTGGCTATTACTGTAAGAACCAGGGGAGAATCTATTGAAAAACAACATTTTTTCATTAGTACCGACTTTTGATTTCTTGACCTGTTAAAATTAACCAGTCTACCTGAAGTATTACACTGTCGCACATTTGAAAATATACTCATTGTTTAGATAGCAGGTTTCAAATTAAAATTGGAACAATGTTTAGTCAATTAATAAATTATTGAGTGAATGTATTATTAAATAATAGCTTGTTACAATGGGCTTAGTAGGTCGATACTTCACTACCTCATTTTACTTTGATTTGTCGTATTATTGTATCAATTAAGTACGCTTATGTTGTTGGTGTTATTTATTGCTTTTTCTGTAACTCTGTAATAATTAGAACGTAACTAAATTCCTAAAAATACCAAATCATGGATGCAGAATGATAGGAAGGAGCTGAAGCTAACTTAAATAGGCCAAAACATCTGTATCAGACTTAAACTAGTTTGAATGAATTAAACCATTGGGTTAAGGCAGAATATTTTCAATTTTCAAACTAGAAGCTTGACCTTGTGCAGCCAATATAATTGGTTATTTGTTAGCACTACGTCCTTGAGATACATAACATTTGTTTATTGTGTAGATTTATATGATAAAATCGAATTATTCTCACCAACCAGTTCACCTTGTATCTCTCTTCTTGTGAATTCTGGTAGCCAGAGGTAATCAGTGATCGGTATGAGAATCAAACCCATAAATCTGCAGTGTTGTTCCATCACCACCGATGTAGCACAAAGACTGTCATCAGAGTTGGTATCGTTAGTCTCTAACTCAAAGAGTATAATCCCTTTAGACAACTCATACAGCTATCTACTCACTACAAAAATGAGAATAGCTAACAGATGAAACTTTCTATTAAAGGGGACTGAAAGTAGTAGTTTTCGAAGTGAAGACAAATGAATTACTCCCGTTGAAAAACCAGTTAACAAAAATGAATCTCTAAGTTCAGAAATGTTTACTTGGCAAGAGTAAAACAGTGTTACAAGTAATTTAAGCAAACAATATCAAATATCTGAAATGAACAAATGAGTTGTACAATCGAACCAGTTAGAATCAGACAGGCAGACGAAATGAAACACTGTGTGAATACACATAAAAGATTTATCATCTAAATTTTTGAAAAAAGGAACCAATTTTTGTGAAATTAGTCTCACTGGTTAGCTACTTATGATGAGCTTTGACTTAACGCAGGTATAAGTAAAATCTGAGACATCGACTTTTATTTTTCAATAACTCTTCTTCACACCTGACAGACAATAGCATATTTCCAACGAAATACATTGTTCTCAAATGAAAATTTGTGGGGATTTGATTGGTTTCACGTCCGATCATGAAATGACTTCATTTAGAGCATCAATAAAAATCAGGGAGTACTGAACAGTTATTTCGTCCTATTTTTGAACTCTTTAGTGGTACGCAGCCATTACCCAACTCATCAGGCATCGAAAGCAGGACCTTCTGATAATGAGGCGAGCTCGTTGACTGTTTGGATGGTAACTACTAGTACATGAATCCTAACTTCCTTCAGTTAGCAGTTTTTATTAGCAGCTGGGCTAATCAAATCCTTATAAACTAACCATTGAAAAGAAATCTAATGGTCATCAGTGACTGACGACAGGACGAAGTTGCCTGGAATTCTAGTGTGAAGTCGTAACCACTGGGGTCCACCGGTAATGGTTTGATGACACTGACTCGCTGATGGCACTGGCAATCTCAATCAATCAATGTCACAGGGTGAAGGGAGAGATTGATAACAGAAGCTTTGTTTATCGAATCAACTGCAAATACATGTAATAGAAATGATTCATCACCTGTCCCTGATATCTGGAGAATTCTACTACCCCTACGACATATAGGAGAAGACAAAGAAAACTATAAAACTTAAGTTTCGAAGTCGTATGGTTATAATTGATATGATTATGAACAGTAAATTTTTCTCGAAGCGTCATCCAGTAAATAATACTGTTTCACTGTGTGATATATCTAATAAACAAACTAATATGGAATTATTTACTACCACAGTGCCCAAGTTTTACACATATAGAAATAAGCTAGTTCTTAGTTATTCCGTTTGGAACAAGTATTTACACCAGAGCTACAAGTGACCCAGTATGTTAGACCTCTAATAGTAAGTAATTAGACTTGATAATTTGGAATACTTCAACTATTGTTATTGTTATTATTGTTAATGAATACGCACCCCTTAAGAACACCTATAAGCGAGAGCAGTGTAGTATACTTAATGACGTCAGACCTAACCACTATACAGTATTTGGAGACAGGAGTGGCAGTGTGGTTTACTGGAGCTAGTCTCTCCTCTTTTACTGCTGGTTCAAAAGGCATAATAAACAGGAATGCCATAGGGAATACTGTCATTCGCTGCAATGAATCACTTATTCCACTCTTGTGCACCACTAGACAAATGAACTTAGAAAGGTAATTTTGACAAACTGCTCATAAATGAGCTCAGCCTTCCAACTGTACTAAAATGCAAATAAATAAATGATAATAAGTTTTTAATTTGCCACATGGAATCACCATGGTTGCATCTTTCGGAAAACAGTAAAATACAGGATAACTGCTGATGACTCGTGGGTTGTAATTCCTAGCCCTTCAAGTTTACTGCCTAATTTAATTCCAGAAAAAAGTGTCACCTGAGGTAATGATCAGGTATAGTTAAATCGCAGCTGTCGTATATTTTAACGCTTCATGTAGGCTATTTTTGATATAAAAAATCCCTGTACAAAACCGATCCACGCGTGGACTATTATTAATAACCAACCAAAATGCAGCTTTCACATGCCAACGTCAAGTGAGACATTTAGCATTGTGTTTATTGTTAAGTGATACAATATGGTTAGTGGTGTAGAGATTAAGTATAGAGTGTTAGATAGGAAGGGAAAGTCAAACAATGAAATTGTCAAGCTACGTCGACTGAGGTGGCTAAAATACCTGTTACGCATGCGGGACTACTGACTCCCTCGTCGAGCAATCTTAGCTGACAGAAGGTTTAGGTAGTAGTCAAATTAAAACCTGGCATCAGTCCATGGAGTCTATGACCTTTGATTTGAAGCAGCCACCCAGAAGGGTGTGGACCGTCTGGTTGGCGTCCGCGAGATGCTAAGAGTGAATGGCTTGAAACTGTTAGTGATGCAGTTGAAAATCCATCTTAGTGACACAAATACATTCACTCTTTGTAGTCTACAAGATCCATTAAGTTCCCATGTCTCTTCATGTACTCATTCCTTCTCCCGTACATTTCCACTCTTTTGAATTTTTTCTCTATCTTTTTGTGCTGAATGGAGTGTGGGACCTCCAATTGCTGAACTTCTGTGCAAAATT